GGCCCGGCCAGCGCGGCGCCCCGCTCAGCCGCCTGCCCTGCCCGCAGGGCGACTCCGGCGGCCCGCTGGTCTGCCAGAAGGACGGCGCCTGGACCCTGGTGGGCATCGTGTCGTGGGGCAGCAGCAACTGCTCGCCCTCCGTGCCCGCCGTCTACGCCCGCGTCACCGAGCTGCGCTCCTGGATCGACTCCATCCTGGCGGCCAACTGAGGCCGGCCATGAACAATAAACGCTCTTGCCCACCCGGGGCCTCCGCTTCCTTGTGCAGGGGACGGGGACAGGGCGGGCWGGCGGAGCTGGAGCCACCTTAAGGCGGCAGGGCAGAAGGGCCTGCCCCGGGCGCCATCACTGAACCCAGGCCTGTGGCAGCTGCTGGGGCATGTGGGGCCTTGGGGCCCTGGGCTGCTGCCCCAAGCAGCGCTGYGGCTGCTCTGGGTGCCTTAGTGCATGGTGTGCTGCCCACGGGCACTCAGACACTAACACCATGAGTGCAAACGTTGTCCGCCTCTCCCTGCTGCTGCTGCACAGGCTGCTGCACTGCTCAGGACCAGGCCTCGGGGCACAGGTCCCTCGGTGGGACGGCCTGGTGTTGCAGATACCCCCGGCACCCTCCTCTTTTACTCCCAAAGTCTTAGCCAAAACTCAGTGCAGGAAGGACTTTACCAAGTACCCGGGCATGTACGGGCTGCATGGGCCTGTCCCCAGGCCACCCACAGCCCCTTCTGCCACCACCATCCCACAGAGAGGTGCCAGCCCTGCCTGGCACCTGCGCTGGGCAGCAGGGCTTGTGGCTGGGCCAGTGGGCACGGCTGGAGGAGGAGGTGGGCAAGAAGGGCTTGGCCCCATGTGCCAGGTAAGGCCTGGGGAGGTGCTGTGACTATGCCCAGACCTCGACCCCAGGGCCCCCTGGCATCACCCTTACCCCCAGCTGCCCCTGACTGCTTGGAGAGCCTCGGGGTTAGGCCGGGGCAGCTCAGCCAGGGCCTCCGTGCCCAGCACTGGCCCCTGCCCCAGGAGCCCYATCCCAGGCCCACGGCCCCAGAGCGGGCAAGGCCATGGGAACCCTCGGCTAAAGCCCGTGCACGGATGGAGCCTTTGGAGAGGGGCGCCCGCTCTGTGCAGAGTGCCAAGCTCCGGGCGGGGGCACCCAGGGCTGCGCAACACAGAGACGCCCACGAGCTGCAGGGATCCTAGGCAAATCTTTATGCTGGRAGGGACAGGGGGCCGAGTTTTGGCAGGCTGCAACTCCGTAGCTCTGGGAAGCAGGAGCTGCTTCCCCGGGGTTCAACAAGGCACCAAATCCGGTTTGCGTTTCCGTTACAGCTGGTCCAGGAGCAAAACCCAAGACAGGAAAATGCAAAGTTGGCTTCCCCCCTCCCCGGCCCCAAYCCACCCGTCACCCCATCCCAAGGCAGGACACAGGCTCCTGCAGCTGCTGCTGCTGCACAGCTCGATCTTCTGTCTCCAACGTGCCCTGCGAGGCTGCAGAAGCCACCAGAGAGAAGCAGTCGCAGCGTCACCTCACCCCAGGGCCCAACATCACCTCAGTTTAAGGGCATGGGACAGAGCCCCAGCTCTCCCGCGTGGGAGCCCCTGCCCCGGCAGYGCAGGCAGCGGGCGGAGAGGGGACAGCAGGGAAGGCAGGGGCAGGATTCCACCTCCGAGCTTTGCTTCGCTGCATACACAGCCCTAAACCCAACCTTGTCCTCTGTCCAGAGAGGGAAAGAAGGGGGAGGAGGGGGCAGGAAATTGCCACTGGGATCAGTGGTATCCCAGACCCTGGTGTGCATGTGAGTCTATCTATATACAGGTCCGTTTACACCAGGCAGAGATGGCTCTTGTTGAGAGGGRCACAAGACAGTAAGAGGGCCATGAGGAGGGGGCAACAGCCTGTGACCATCACATGGCCGCCAGCTGCCCCAGCACCATTTTGAACTGCCGCGTGCTGTTGGCAAGGTCCTTGACACGATCCACCATGTCCTTTGAGGCGGTGGGCGAGGGGTAGTGGAGAGCGGCCGCCTTTGTGGTCACCACGATCTCCTTGAGCATCTCACAGAGGAGGTTGCTGTAGTGCGTGACCTTGTGCCGGACGTCCTGGGCCTTGGCCTGGCGGGACAGCGTGTCGCCGATGAAGACRAGCTTGTGGGCACTGAGGATGACGAACTTGCTGTGGGCAACAAAGATCTTGGGGGGCTGGTTGGTGCTGACAGCGGTGAAGAAGGCGTCAACGGCATTGGTGAGCGTGGTGAGGTTGGCCTCACACTGCTCCAGGTAGAAGAGGAGGAGCTGGCGGTCGGCAGGACACAGGGCCCCGCCGCCACGTGCCAGGCCGTAGTGCTGCGGGGGGCTCCAGTTGGACAGGTCGTTGTCGATGGGGCGCGTCACCTCCTGCTCCAGCCGCTCAAACTGCTTCAGCTGCGGAAAGGACAGGGGTGAGGGTGCACGGCCAGGGCAGGGGGCTCTTCAAACCACTGCCCCATCTCCTGGGGCTGCGCAGCCCCGAAGGAGGAGGCCGCGTTTTGCTGTGGCTGCAACATGGGAGCCAAGTGGTGCGAGCAGGTGGCCCCAAGGCGCCCAGCCATGTCCCAGGGGGAGCAGGCACACGAGAGTGCCAGCCCCCAGGGAGAGGAGGGCTGCACTGGGCTCCGCTGATGCCCTTCACTGCTGGAACACTGCAGCCACAGGAGACACGTGGATGTCACAACGTGCACATCACCACGCGGACGGCCACAGAAGAAGGAGACATGGTCCAGACTGGACACGAAGGGTGACTGAGGGTCACTGTGCCCTCTGAGCGAAGGRGCCCATGAGCTGTGCCCAGTGCCACGCAGGGCAGAAGCGCTTGCCCGCCCCAGCCCCATTACCTGCTGGTGCTCCAGCTGGTCCTTGCTCTGCCGCATGATGTTGCCTTTCTCCAGCAGCTCCTTCTGCGTCTTCTCAAACTCCTCCTTGCCCTGAAGGGAAAGAAAGGACATGACAAAGAAGGCAACAAAAACCTTACCAGAAGGAGCCCCCACCAGCACAGGAATGACCCCAACTGCCTCAACCCTCAGGCAGGAGGGTCCAAGCAAGAACTGGGACTATGAGGCACACAGGTGCCAGCTGGCTGCTTGGGCAGGGGCAGAACTGCCGCTGCAGTCAGTGCAGGGCCTGCACCAGGCCACGGGAAGCCACAGACACAAAACCCACCCATGGGGCAATGCAGGGGACCAAGCCCAACCTGCAGTGGTTTATGCCCTGCCATTGCATCCTTGTGCCTACCTGGAGATGGACGTAGTCATAGTCTTCCATCCAGCCACTCTCGTTGTTCTCGTAGGGCCCGTCGGGCGACTCCTGTGCCAGYAGCTTAGGCGGGGAGGGCAGGGGCCGCGACTGGATGCTGCTGGCCTTGTCCGAGGGGTGAGATGGCCCGTGCCCGTTGCCCTCCGGCACCTGCTTTGTCCGTTTGAAGAGGAGGGAGGCATTGCCATGCAAGAAAGAGGCCAGCTGCTTGGTATCATCGGGCACGCCGCGGGAGTACATAACAAAGAGCTCCAGGTCATCCGTGCCCGCCTTGCCTCCAACCAAAGCACCAGGGGCCCAGTGACAAGCGTCCAGAGCTTGGCTGTGCCGTGCCAGGGCCTGGTACACCTCCTCCATCTTCTGCAGCTGCTTGCTGAGCTTGGCATAGAGGGAGCGGTCCGAGGCCTGGGCCGCGTTGCCCACCGCCCCCCGGGCGAACTCCAGCAGGTCCCGGAGGGCCCCCTGGACGCCCTCGGCYGCCGCACGGATACCAGCAGCGTTCGCCTCCATGTGCTCGGGGCTGCGCCAGTTGGCGCCGATGAAGGACATGAGGTAGGAGACAGCGCCGCTGACCCCGTGCTGGAGCTTGGCCAGCACCTCCATGGCAGCGTCCAAGTCCAAGGAGAACTCCTTGGCGGCCCCTTTGGCYGGTTCCTTCACGGGCACCACGTCCAGCGAGGACGTGGAGATGTTGCTGCGGGTGCTGCCCGTGCTGGAGGCCGAGAGCCGCTTGGTGTCRGGGGCCTTGGCCTCCCGGTCCACTTGCGGAGGGACGTCGTAGATGTACTCACCCTCGGGGTCCCCCGAGGCCTTGCCGGGGGCGTGCAGGTCCCGGGGCACATCATAGACCTCCTGGGAGCTGAAGGACGACCCCCCGAGCTTCTTGAGGCTGGGGGGCACGTCGTAGATCTCATGGGGGAGTGCCGGCTCGGGCACCCCTTTCCCGGCCGCTGGCGGCACGTCGTAGACGTCCTCGGGCAGGTAGGGCTCCTGCTGCGTGAGGATGAGGGGGTGCCTGGAGGGGTCGAAGGCCTTCTGCTTGGCAAAGGCGGGCGGCACGTCGTAGGTCTCCTCCCGCACGGGCCCGTCCGGCACGTCCTTGCTCACGGAGGGCGGGATGTCATAGACCTGCAAGGGCCCCACCAGCGCCGCTCAGGCTCCACGTGCCCCCACGCAAGCCCCATGGCTGCCCCGTGCCAGCCCTGCACGTGGGTGGCTGCACGGGGACGAGTCAGCCCCGAGCGCGTGGGGAAGGGGGCCCTGCCCCACACATGCACGAGGTGAGTGGGCAGGGGCCGTGTGCTGGGAAGGCAGCACGCGCCCCAGGGTGCCCCTCCTCTTGGGCGGGCTGGCCCGGCTGTAGCGTTGAGGACCCGGCACCTCCCGTGTCCCCTTTGGTGGCCCGGGGCAGCAGGGTTCCCCCGCGGTACTTACCGTCTGGTGCAGGTTCTTCTCCACGCTGGGGGGCACGTCGTAGATCTCCTGGCCAGGCTCCTGCGCAGCRGGGCCCTTCACTGCCATGGGGGGAGTGTCGTACACCTGCGGGAGGACAGGCCAGGGCTCAGGAAGAGCTCGAGCTCCCACCTCGTCCCGGGGGGAACGGGGAGCTGCCTGCAAGGACAGAGACACTAGAAGCAGCCTGAAGGATCCCAGCTCAGGAGGGTGCTCAGAGGCACTAGGAGCAGCCTAAAGGATCCCGGCTCAGGAGGGTGCTCAGAGGCACTAGGAGCAGCCTAAAGGATCCCGGCTCAGGGGGGTCCTCAGCCTTAGGCCTCATCCTTGCAGGGATGAATCCCGCCACTTTGGAGCCTCTCCCGCCGCGGGGACTGCGGCACTCACCTCCTGGCCCAGCTGGCTCGGGGGCGCCCCGCGCACCGGCGGCACGTCGTAGATCTCCTGGGAGCCCGCGGAGAGCAGGTGCCGAGGGAAGTCGTACTCATCCTGCTCGCCC